ATATGTGTGGGTGGGGAGGGCTATGTGCCTACTCTGTATTTTCTGCTCAATTCTGCTGTGAACCTAAAACTGTTCTAAAAAATTAAGTCTATTAATTAAAAAAAGAAAAAAGAAACCATTAGGTATGTTAAAGCCTATTTGATAACATTTTAAAATGATCTAAGGGCCAGTCTTAGTGATAAAAATATTAATTGCAGAATGTTAAGATATATATTTACATTCTTAATTTTCTTTAGGATATATCTATCTATAAACTTCTGGCAGGCAGTTTGCTTTAATGGATATGTAATTTGTGTAGTCATCACTTAATTTGTGATTCTAACATATTTGAGAATATGTTAGATAAATCACTCCATAATTATAGCAGTTTAATCTGCTTAGGGAAATCATTTAGCTTATGCTATTGTGTAGATATTTTTCTTCACAAAGTAAGGCAAAGTTTGGCTGAAATTGCCATGAATTTTGCATCAGTAGGGTCCATGCAATGGACCAGCTTTTTAGGCATAGAGATTTGAAAATATGCATGTAGAAGCAACAATTATGAAAGAAGTTTAATGAATGGGTTGGGATTCCACTGTATTGCTTCTGAGTTGTATGTCCTTGAGCAAGTTAGTGTTCTTTCCTAGGCATCTGTTTCCCAGTCTGTAAAATGGGAATAATAATAATAATAATAATAATAATAATAATAATAAAAATAATAAATACCAGCACCCAGGGTTGTTGGGACAATTAAATGAGATAATGCATGGAAACAAAATGACTGGCATAGCCTAAATCATGGGACAAAAAAATTATGTTTAGGAGTTGTTTGAGTTTGTGGATGAATACTTTTTTGTTTAATACTGTGTAATATAAAAATAAAAGATTTTATTTATATTTTACATATAAGCTAATTATCCTTATGTGTTTTTGTAGCTCTTCATTATAATTATTTTAAATTTATATTTAGTGACATGTTTATCTATGTAAAACAGTAGGTATATGGGAAACTGTGTCTCAGCTAATCTAGGACTCTGCAGAGAAAATAAAGTTAGCAATAAGACATTATTTTCAGCAAAGGAAGCAAGTGTACGAGCTCATTTAAGTATTGACTCTGATATTTCAAAAGCTATCAGATAGAGGGACCACAGTTTTTATCTTTTTCTATATTGGGCTTCCACTTTATTTTTGCTGCTACCCTCTTAATGTGTGCTTATACAACTTAATTTCTTCTTCACAATAGCATGATAAGCACTTGGTTGAATTGTCAAATTATACAGTGGTTTATTGTATCCTTTTTTGTCTCTAGGATGATTGAGGAAAGTGGGAACAAGCGGAAGACCATGGCAGAGAAGAGGCAGCTGTTCATAGAAATGCGTGAGTCTTGAGTGCTTCTAGAAATCCTTATTTGTATGTGTGGGAATAGCTTTTTTTTCCTCTCCCTTATCAAGTCGTAGCTTTAATCAATTAGAAGTTTTATGTTACAAGCTTCAGAAAGGGAAGAATGGGGGTTAAAGAATCGTGGAGTTGGAGAACCCCCAAGACAGAGCATGTATTTTAACTGAATTGACTTGAACTTCTTTCTTAAGCAAGATCATAAATAATAAAGCAGAAATGTTAACCTAAATTATCTGTGGGTTAAAGGCTTGCCTGTCAATTTAAACCTCTTGCTGTAGCTCCATTGTTACCATGAGCCTGCAGGTGGTGATAAATAATTAACGAATTATATAAATTACCTCCCACTAGATAAAGGTTCTAAGGTAGAGATGACTAAGTGTTAGCACAACACTTACAGCTGTAGGAAAAATTAAAAGCATGAATGTGTACTTTGGTATATTACTTTACTGTATACACTTTAAAATCTGTTAAAACTTCTTATATATTTCTTATCTATTCTTATGTATTCCTATATTCTTACGTAATCTTATATATTTCTTACATAAAATTCAAGCAAAAAAAAAAGATGGCTGGGAGGAATAGGGTAGTTCCCAGTGTTTGGAGGGTTGGTTTGGTCTGCAGTTACTTGTCGATGTGACCGTGACTGCATGGCCTTGACCAATGCACTGACACTTGGTGGACCTCAAATTCCTTAACCATGAAATGGGGTTATTGGTCTGTGCCAGTGATTGTGAAGCCTTTTAAGAGCATTGCGCTTTTTTTTTTTTTCCCAATGAGAGCTTACAAGGACCTTCAACATGAGTGTTGTAAGATTGGTGCTGCTTGGTGAAGCCAGAGGAGGGAGGTGGGAGTCAGCTTGAGATACCCCTGAGGTAGCTGCAGAATTCTAGAATTCTGCATATCATGGAGTGAAAATCAGCAGGTCAGACCCTTTCAACTATCAAGATTTTCTAAACTGTTAGAGTCTTAGTAATGGGAAGGCAGAGTTTGACTCAACTCAGATCTGTGTTGTCTTGTCAGGCAGGGCCTAGATAATTGTCTGTTAAAGATGGCAGAAAAAGAAATTTTTGGCTTAGGCAGTTAGTCTGGGTGATCTTTACCGACTTTCCTAGTTCTGAGTCTCTCATTGCTAGTCATCTAAGCTGGACACCTTGGAGTCACTTCTCTCCACCTCACCCTCCTCCACCAAAGAAATCACAAAGCGCAGCTGAGTTTTCCCCCGTGAGTCCTTTTTTTTTCAATTTTATTTATTTATTTATTATTATTATTATTTTATTGAAGTATAGTCAATTTATGTTGTCAATTTCTGATGTATAGCGTAATAGTTCAGTAATACATGTACATACATATATTTGTTTTCATATCGTTTTCAGTATAGGTTACTACAAGACATTGAATATAGTTCCCTGTGCTATACAATATAAACTTGTTGTTTATCCACTTTATGTATAATAGTTAGTATCTGCAGCTCTCGTGAGTCTTGAATCGGTCTGTTCCTCATACTATAATGGCTTTGAATCCAGGCTCTGTAGTCAGACTGCCTGGGTTTGCATCTTGGCTCCCTCACTGGCTCACAATTTTCTCATCCATAAAATAGGACCTACTGCATAGAATTATTGTGAAGATTAAATGAGATAATGGGACTAAAGCACTTCACGCCATGCTTGACCCGGAACCGTAGGTATTTAATGTGGTTAGCTGTGTTTATAATTAATATATATATATTTTTAATCATTTTTACTTTTCTAAACGGAAGCAGTCAGTTTCTGATCCTTTCCTTCAGTCTTGACACTCAAGTTGGTGATCTCTGATGCTACCAGACTGAACTATATAAACCTTAGGTTACTTCCTCCTTAAATCCCTTCTGTTGCTCCTCATCACTGTCCTGAGGAAGCCCAAGCTCCTGAGATGAGGCCATTTTGGACTCCTCCTTGGCTCACAAGTTTCTGATTTCCATCACTCACCATCTGTGTTGTTTCCAGCAGTCCTGGCCTGGCTTTCCCCCAGAGAGGTGGTGGTTTTCCTCTCTTCTGTGCTGTTGTGTATGGGGTTGCCTCCGCCTTCATCTGGCTTGTTGCTCCTGCCTACCCTTCAGGACTCAGCATA